TAGTGTGGACTCCTTATTCACTTCCTTCCTTGTAAACCCTTAATGGTCTCCTTCATTACCTTCAGCCAGTGCTTTGTCTTAATCACCTCAGTTCTCCTTAACGAAGTTGTGGAGGTAATTGCATTAAGTTGCAAAGGTACTCCGGAAAACATCGCCTTGGGCCTTGGGCCGAATGAGGTAGTGAAAATCGGCTGGGGTGAATGATAATTGATAACATAGAATAGTATGGTTGTGTTTTTACGTAATTTTTAAAATACTTTAAACACGCAGAACCATAGGGCTCCTAAAATATTATGATTAACATGGGCCGCAATAATATACGTTTTAAATAATTAAGTTTTTATTTTTATTACTGTTATTTTTACCTAAAATAATAAGAATTAAATTAGTTTTCGTGCTTAAAAATTTGATATATTTTTTACGCATTTTAACAATTACTTTTCAGAGGATGCTAGTTGTTGCTAGGTATACAATAAATGATTAGAATGAAAAAAAAATTATTATTGGTTCTCTGAGATGACAAAATACTTTTATGTATTCCCAGGCTCATCAAAGTTAGTAAATCACTGCTTTGAGTAATTAATCAAAGTTTGAATGAATCTTGAACAATAACAAGATATATAATGTTTCTTCCAGTTTTACTTACAATGCTACTTTAAAGGATTTGAATATTATTGAAGATTCTTCGCATTGTCAAATTTATTATGAAAAAAAGGCAGTTGTTTCAAAATAAAATATTTTAAGCTATCAGCAAGTAAATTCAAAAAACAACTTTTTGTAATTGAATAATTGTAATTTTTTGTAATAAAAAAATTGCTTGTGTAAAATGAAGGTTTCAAATCTATTATTTATTAATGAATCTATTAATCTATTATATGTACAGTAGCACTAATTATTAAACATAATTTTGAGAATATCGACAAGCAAAGCACTTAATGGAAAACACTTATACTAAAAATATTATTATTCTGTATGAATGATAGAGAATATATGTAATGAATACCATGGCCAACCTATATAAAGAAAAAGAAACAAAAAAAGGTATTCTCTGCCTCGACACTTGAAAAAGTAATCCTGCTGTGTAATACATAGTTAATTTCTGATTACATGGTATTGCAAGCATTTTTCTTCAGATTTTTCCTACAACTGGTTAAGACCATTGAATACAGATAATTTGATCTGGTTTCATATCATGGTTAAAGGGCTGGCTGCATGGTTGATTTTCTAGTTTTCCTCATGTGTAATGCAAATACAAGCTAGTTTCCCTTAGAAAGTTGTTCAAAAAGGCATCCTTCTTCAGGTCAATAGCCGGTATTCTTTGCCATATTAGAATAACCTAAACTTTCCTTCAAATTCTACATTGACATGTTATATCTGCTGTAAGCAGGATAATGTTTTAATCTTGAAAACTTTATAAATTTTCCCGATTTTCTTTACGTCATGGGTTTCACTAACAAGATATTCATACTTTTGTTCGCAAAGCATTTACTACTCATTTCAAATGCAACATTTTGCGAAGTGTTTCATCTGCCTTTTTCATACGTATGGCTGCATCATTCAGAAGAAAATGGTGTCATGTTTAAATTTCATCAGATGCAAAGTCTAAAATACTGGAATAGCTGCTTTTTTCCCACATCTGTTATAAGGAGAAATAATTTGATGATATCCTGGAACTGGAATTATCCTGGGGTACATATTAATTTGTAAACAGCATGGGTTATATCATAAATGGAAATGAGAATACTGCTTTTTCCATTCTCACTTTGGATATTCTAAATTGCACTAATCTTGTACACATTAGTGCAATACATTAGAGCATTGAATTATGTCCATTTTAAGGTAAATTTGTGGAACATTATTTTGTATAAATTTCCAAACATCTTTTCAGAGATGGACTTTCTTACAAGATTCAGATAACGAAGATATATTCAGTAATCATTAGTCTTAATCAGAAAAAGAGTGCGACCCTTCAGAAGACATTCCTTGTGATGAAACTGACTATTTTGTAGGAAAAGATAAAACAACAAAATGGAAGAAAGAACCCTTTTGGATTCAAAGATGCATGGCTTCCCATAAGATCATAAAAAAATTGCCTGGCAATGCACATATAATCTAAAGATGTGGCTTCACCTATAGATATATGGAAGCTAATGTTTGATGACACAATGATAGAAATGATTGTGAGATGCTCTAATATTTATGTAAAAAGTATTTCGGGAAATTTTAAAAGAGAAGCAAAACCTATGGGGAAAGAAGAGTTTCTTGCTTTTTTAGGACTCTTATACATAGCTGGTGTCGCAACCCCCACAGTATAGAATGGAGTGCTTCCAACTTAAACTCCGGGAATCTGCGCAGGCGAACTATTAAGACCCTACCAAAGACTTTATCCTCTTGAAGTTGAAGACAGTCCAGAATGTTCCGTCGTAAAACCTAGATATGGACATATAGTAAAACCAACTCAGAGACTGAATTTGTAACCTATCTTATTGAGACTTTGGTTGCATTCCTACACCAGAATGCAAGGTGAAAGGAAATGTCGCAACCCCCCACAGTATAGAATGGAGTGCTTCTAATTTCGTAAACCTATCGCTTAATAACGAAAACGCTACATCAATTTCTTCTAAATCTATCGGTTTAGCTTTTAGAGCTTCATCTAGCCTGTTAGCGACTTTGGTAAAATTTGTTCTGAGTGGTGTTCTTACTTTTAATAATGCATCTATTATTATCAATCTCTCTTTATTAAAAAAAACAGCCTTTTACTAAAAACCAGCGTCCCCATTAGGGCGCCAAGATTTCACGAGCAATCTAAATTCGAATTAAACACTTGAAACAAAAGGAATAATCTTAAATCTTCTTACCTTGTCTCTTTGCTCGTAAATAGATGTTGAAGCTGAAAAGGCTGTCTTCTTAAATCCAAAAAGGTACTAAAAGTTTACACACACCATTTATTAATCATTTTAACACACACTCGTATTCAATATAGGAGACACTTAACGAAAAAAAAAAACACTATTGATCGAGATATTTTAGATCTTTTCTCAAAAGATCCGAACACGGATCAAAATATGTTTGATCAAGAATATGAAAGGATAAATTCTTATTCTGACACAAAGATATCTTTGAAAACGAAAGTAGAACGATTTCGAAATGAACAGTGTAATAACGTATCTATTAATGATTCTTCTGTTGAAGTGGTAAATAAAAGAAGTGTTAAATTACCTAAAAATCGAGCTACAAAAATATGATGGTTCAATTAAAGGGTGGCTTGGGTTTTGGAGTTTGTTTAAGAAAATTTATGATGACCCATGTTTATCGAATGAAGACAAGTTTATATATCTCATTCAAAGCACCACAGAGAAGTCGCGAGCTCGTGACCTTGTGGAAAGTTTTTCACCTACGTCAGATAACTATCCGTTGGTGATAAAATGTATGAAGTTTCGTTTCGGTAAAGACGAATTACTAATTGAAGTGTATGTGCGTGAATTGTTGACTTAAGTATTGAGCCATAATAAATGTAATTTATCGAAACTTTATGGTAAGATCGAAGCATATTTAAGAGCCTTAAGCACCTTAGGTGTTACCTCCGATAAATATGCAGCTATGCTCTAACCTCTGGTCGAGAGTTGTTTATCAGAGGATGTTTTGAAAATATGGGAACGGCATATCAATTCTCTTGTAGTTAATGAAAAGGGAAAAGAGGAAGTAAATAAATTAGTTGTTCTAATGGAATTTTTAAAATCAGAAGTGGATGGGGAGCAAAGACTTGCGATTGCTAGAAGTTCATTTGATAATGAAAGGGAACCTCTCAAAAGATCATTTAACGGAATCTTAACGAAAAAAAATGTGATATTCCGACCGCTGCTAGTCTTTTATATACGAATGGTTATAACGGAAAGAAGTGTATTTTTTGAGATAAAAAACACGATTCTCAAGATTGCAATAAGCGAAAAAAATGAGTCTTGATGAAAAAAGGGATATAGCTAAGAGGACTGGTTGTTGCTTTTCCTGCATTAAGAGGGGACATGTTTCGAAGCAGTCCATAGCAGAATAAAATGCTTTATATGCAGTAAATTTCATTGTACTGTTGTGTGTCCAAATCCTTTATTTGAATCGAAAGCAGATGTTCAAAAATCGGTTGAAAACCCGAACTGTACCCAGCTCAATCATCCGGCCCTTGCAAGTCAGTCTAACTCAACAGGGGTACTGTTACAAACATTGCAAGTTTCTCTTAGGGGTAAAAATGGTAACAACATCGTAGAGCCCTTATATATACAGGAAAAACATTATTAGTGCCAAAGCAGTTAACTATGAACTATGTGTGTGTGTGTGTGTGATTATGGCAAAGCCTCGAGGGCTATCTGCCTAATGGGAGGGATGCCTTCGTGGAGGACTTTCTAAGGGAAACTGGCTCGTATACACGTTACACATGGGGAAAACCACGAAAACGCCCATGCAGCCAGCCCGTTCGCGGGATTCGAACCTCGGACCAAACTACCAGTGTTCAGCGACTTTACCGCTCGGCCGCTGGTGGTCCGCTATTGAACTATGAGTGTTTAGGAGAGATACCAATAGTTCACAGTTTATTTGGTGGTCTTGAATCTCCTCAACAGAAGCATCGCCGTTTTAGAGTGTATTTAACCAGTTTAGATAAGAATTACAGTTGTAATTTTGAAGTATTAGAACAAGTAAGAATTTGCGGTAACGTAATGAAAACCCCGCAAGGCCCATGGATAAGAAATCTTCGCAAGAGGAAGATAACTTTGACTGATAGTAGCAGTAACGCCTTACAAGAAGCTGATCCTGAAATTTATCTACTTATAGGATCGGATGTGGCTGGTAAACTTTTAAATGGGAAAGTACAAGTTTTGGTTGATGGTCTCATTGCAGTTGGTACTCATTTCGGCTGGGCACTCATGGGAGAGATTTTCACAGGTATCCAAAGTATCTGAATCTTATTTATCTATCATATCTCTACTCACCCACGACTTAATCTTCCAGATATGTGGAGTTTAGAGCGTATAGGTATTGCAAATCCAGTTGAAAACCAAACTGCTGCTGAAATGCAACAAGCTGCAATTGTACATTTTCAGCGTAGTCTAAAAGTTAATGATGAGGGAAGGTACGAAGTAACGTTACCTTGGCTCAAATTGCATCCCACAGTTCCTGAGGGTAAAGACTTAGCCGAAAGAAGATTGCGCACTACAGTTAAGAGACTCAAAACTGCTAACATCTTAGAAGCCTATCAAGAGGTCTTACAAATGTGGTTAAAGGCTGGAATAATTGAAGAACTGAAAGAAGATGAGATAATGACTACTGGCCATTTTTTGCCTCATCGAGGATCGAACGGTAGTTAAGAATTCAGCAACAACGAAAATTAGGTCTGTGTTTGATGCCTCTGCACATACTAAAAACTCGGTATCTCTGAATGAATGTTTAGAGAAAGGTCCGAATCTCATGGAACTCATTCCAGCGATATTAACTCGTTTCCGCATGAAAGAATTTGCTGTTACTGCAGATATAAAACAAGCCTTCTTGCAAATTAGTATCTCTAAAAGTGATATGAACTATCTTAAATTTCTCTGGATGGAAGACGAGGATCCAAATAAGTTGAAAATCTACAGATACTGTCGTGTCGTTTTTGGACTTACGTCCAGTCCCTTTTTGTTGAACGCGACGTTAAAATACCATTTAGAAAATGCTCCTCCTCAGTTTAAAGACACAGCTTTGATCTTACTAGACTCCTTTTTATGTCGATGAGTGTCTTGATAGTTTTGAAAGTTTTAAAAAAGAGTCAGAATTATTCGTTCAAGAGAATTGTTACTCTCGGGTAAATTTGAGTTAAGAGGCTGGCGAAACAATTAGAGACTGTCAAGTTTCCAAATGAGAATGCTAATGGACTCGAGGATCCAAACGAAGATAATTTAGTATCGGTTTTAGGACTACAGTGGGATCTGACGTCTGATACATTATTTTGCAATTCCACTTACCATCAAACTGCAGATCCTCCCGTTACTAAAAGGAAGATTTTAGCCTTAGCGCAACAAATATATGATCCTTTGGGAATTGTTTGCCCATTTACACTGTTGCCAAAATTGATACTACAAGAATGTTGGAAACAGAAAATAGCATAGAACGCAGAATTACCTGAAGCTATAACGAAGAAATTTTTAAACTGGCAAAAAATAACACATCTGAAAAATATCTTTATTCCTAGGTGGATGACGAAGATAACTTCTCCGGAGAAGCAGTGTAGTTTACACGTGTTTGCTGATGCCAGCAAGAATGCTTATGCAGCTTGTATTTTTATCCGAATTGAAACCGAAGAGTCTGTATCTTGCGAATTCGTTACAGCTAAAAATAGGATAAGTCCACTAAAGAAAATCACAATTCCCAGACTGGAACTCCTAGCATGTTTGATTGCTGCTCGTTTAGCTGCTAAAGTGAAGACAGATTTAAAAAGACCAGATCTTGAAACACATTACTGGACGGAGTCTAGCAATGCCTTAAGTTGGATCAAACGAAATGAGCATTTAACAACTTTTGTCGCCAATAGAACACAGGAAATAAGAGCTCTGTCTCACCCTGATGACTGGCGTCATGTTCCGGGAAGTCTTAATCCAGCAGATGTTCCGTCTAGAGGAAGTTCTGTTAGATACCTTATTGAAGCAAGATTGTTACAAGGGCCAAAATGGTTAAAATCTCCAGCAGAGGAGCGGCCAAACTTTCAAATCATAGCTGATGAGGAAAATTTAAATCAAGAGAGAAGGAAGACGGCCATAATCAATACTGAAAGGGGGATACCCTGGTACCAGAATAGATTTTCTTCCTACTCGAAGATAGTTAGAAAGTTTGCGTGGATGAAACGTTTCATAGCAAATGCCAAGAAGCCTAAATTAGAACGGTTCTATCAAGAATTGACTGTCAAGGAAATAGAACAAGCTTAACTGATATTACTAAAAGGCATACAGCAAGAAGCTTTCAGCTTAACAACTAATCTCGTTTTGAAATATCTGTATCCTCAGCTTGATGAAGATGGTTTAATCCGTGTTACTATATGTCTCATACAACGAGATTATACTAACAGTTTCAAACGGCGAGTAATATTGCCCAGCAAACATCCCAGTTGCTCATTTGCTTATCTTGGAACATCATAGAAGATTGAGCCATGCTGGAGTACAAACGTTAATGGCTCAACTGAGACAAAACTTCTGGATATTAAGATGTAGAAAAACTGTTCGCGAAATTTTGAAATATTGCAAGAATTGTAGAAGATTTGAAGTTTCCAATGCTGAGGTTATGGCTGCCCCTTTGCCAGAAAATCGTGTAAAGAATGCAGCTGTGTTTGAAACAACAGGAATTGATTTAGGAGGGCCATTATACTTAAGAAATGGAGATAAAGCTTGGTTTCGTCTCTTCAATGCGCTGTGATTCGAGCAGTGCACATGAGTTATACAATCACTGAGCACCGAAATCTTTGTTTAGCATTTCGAAGATTCGTATCAAGAAGAGAAAGACCCTTGAGACCCTTGTAGGTTTATTCTGATAACGGTACATATATTGTAGGAACTAATAACATTTCCACCAAATAGAATGGCAAAAGGTACAGGAATTGGCTTCAGTTAAGAGTATTCAGTGGATTTTCATTCCTCCTACCGCGGCCTGGTGGGGCGGATGGTGGGAGCGACTAATTGGAATGACTAAAAGAATCTTAAGAAGAAACTTGGGACGAGCTCGACTACCAGAGCTTAAATTGCGCTGGAGTCCACCGGAGCCCAGCTCCGGTACTTCTTAGTTTTTGGGATAAATCATAATTCTAGCCGGAGCGCAACGGAGCCCTAAATAAGAAGACTTCGGCACTTTTTTAATGTAACTGAGTAACAATTTTCGTAGAAATCTGATTTCGAAAATTTTACGTTTAATGATAAAATTATATTAAAAATCGATTCTAACTTCTGAATGCATGCTTCTCTTTTCTTGGGAAACAAATTCTTGGATGGAGGTCGAAACTTTTAAGAATCCAAATCCTTGGATGGAGGTCGAGACCCCTACCCGTATGTCAAAGGTTTATTCTCCAAACAATACAATAAATTTATGACAGCGGGTAAATTTTTCTTTCTAATGCTAGTGTTTTCCCGCGGGAAAGAGCACCTGCAGATTTTTTGGAATAATGTAACCAAAGACGGAGGGTGTAAAATTGCCACTTGTTACTTCTTTCAGCTAATCCTCGGATTCGAAAATTTGTTCCCCTGTAATATTCTGGTTGACAACTAGAATTATATTGAGAGGAAATAGTGGTCAGAAAAATGTTGGACTCTTTTCTTTTTGTTTTCGTACCTAAAGGTTTTCCGTTAAAATTTTCTCCATATTGTCTTACTGTTTATAGCATCCTCTATATTTTCATTAATGGCGCTTTAACCATTTTAACTTTTTTATTGGTGGCTGGAAAAAAAATGGTCTTTATTTCCATTATTTCTTGAACTAGCGCATTATATTCAGAGCTTAAATTAAACCAGAGATCGGTTAAATTTTTTCTTATTTTTTGTGCGAAAACAAACATTCCAGCCAAAAACCGCAAATAAGTCAATGTCTTATACTTTATTTTAATATTTAATTATTTACCATTTATTTGATAACTTATTATATTTTAGTTATCTCTTTAGGCTTACTTTATTAAATTTTTTTATTAATTGTTTAATTATTCTAATCATTAATTAGTTAATTTTAATAATTAATTGTTTAACTGTTGACCTTTTAATTATTTTCCTAGCCATTTCATTTATTTATTTATCTTTGTTCGTCTTTCCTAACATTCTTCCATAGGGCTCCGGCACTTCTAATTTTAGAAATTAAGCCCTGTCGACTAGATTATGATGAACTGGCTACCATTTTATGTGAAGCAGAATATATAATCAACAGCCGTCCCTTGACTTATCTGTCAGAGGATGTTGAAGACTTACAACTATTAACCCCATCTTTATTTTTACAAGAAATACGTACTGGATCTCTCCTTGGATTAGATGTTTTCGATTCGAGTCATTTAATAAAACGTTTTCGTCAGAAACTTAAACAAGACCTGATGAAAAGATTTCGGATAGAATACCTGGGTCAGTTGAAATCTTACTCCAAGTGCAAACACCCAACCACCCTTAGAGTAGGTCAAGTTGTTGTCATTAGAAATGACAACAGGAAACGAATAGACTGGCCTATGGGCAGAATACTTAAACTCTAGCCCGGACAAGACCAAAATACTCGTTATGTTACTCGCATAAATGTTAATGTTACTCGCATAAAAACTATGAACGGCGAACTATTAAGACCCTACCAAAGACTTTATCCTCTTGAAGACAGTGCAGAATGTTCCGTGATAAAAACTAGATATGGACGTATAGTAAAACCAACTCAGAAACTGAATTTGTAACTTATCTTATTGAGACTTTGGTTGCATTCCTACGTCAGAATGCAAGGTGGGAGGAAATGTCGCAGTCCTCACAGTATAGAATGGAGTGCTTCCAATTTAAAATCCGGGCATCTGCGCATGCCCAGAAACTTTGATGACTAACTTCTTTTTGATTTATTGCTATGTTGTTTTATCAGTTAAGTGTCTCCTATATTGAATCTGAGTGTGTGTTAAAATGATTAATAAATGTTGTGTGTAAACTTTGAGTAGCTTTTTGTATTTAAGAAGACAGCCGTCCCAGCGTCAACATCTATTTACGAACAAAGAGACAAGGTACGAAAATTTGAGATTATTCCTTTTGTTTCAACTGTTTAATTAGAATTTATATTGCTCGTGAAAGCTGGATTGCACAAATCCTCCTATGTAAATGTTCGAGAATTATGGGCGACTGAAGGAACAGGATTGGATATTTTTCGTAAAACAAATGAACTATCAGCGTTTTCTTTTCATTCTTTGTGCCTTACGATACGATGATGTCGAAACACGGGATGGCAGAAGAAAGAGTGATAAATTAGTTCCAATAACGGTTTTGTTTGAAAATTTTGTCAAAAAGTTTCAGAAATTATATCATGTAGGGGAATACATGACTTTGGATGAAAAGTTACAACCTTTACGAGGACGATACTCCTTTTGGCAGTATATGCCTAACAAACCTGCAAGATATGGTATAAAGATATTTATTATGGCTGATTTTAGAATCTTCTATACTTTCAACATGAAAATTTACTCAGCCAGCTGGGCCATACAAGAAAGTCAATAGTTCTTGTGAAAAAGCAAAGTGCATCCTAGCTCCATTATACAATTCTGGAAGAAACGTTACCACAGACAGTTGGTATACCAGTTATGAATTGGCCAATTTCTTACAGAAAAATTAAATTTCTATCGTTGGAACAATAT